AGGCCATGATCATTGGAAATTGTTTCTCTTGTTTTCAAAAAATAAAAATAATTTACAAAAATGGAAATAAGAGAAACAATCTCCAATGATCATAGCCTTGACACATGTTGTCAAAATCATGATCCTGAAACAACATTCAAAAGGTTTCAGCCATTGTTCGGACACCTTAGATAATGCTAATGCCGGTGGTACTGTAACTTTCAAGCTTTATAACTTGAAATTTACTTAACCAAAAAACATTTTATCTATATTTTGGGAAGCTCTCGAAATAAGCTACAAGAATATGCAAATAGGGGGTTCCATTTAAAAAATTCAAAGTGACCTTGTCCTGACCTTGATGACGCCACTCAGGGTCAAACCAATGTTATCATCTTATGTCCCCCTCGAAATCCTACAACTTTTGTTTGAAACATTTTTCTCTCAAACCTCACGATTTCCAAATATTTGACTGTCAAATATAAAATGAAACACCCTGTATATTCACATCAATTCAACATTACTTGTAAAAGTGCATTTATCTATCTATAAAATAATTTGAAAATGTCTTCATTAATCTATAACTATGAAAAATGTTTGCAAAAATTATATTTGACATAATTTATCTTTCGCGTTTAAGCAAATTTAATAAAAAGATATTACTTGTCTATTTTGAATAGAAATACAAATGGGAATTATTAAAATTTGATAACTTCAACTAATATTTTACACAGTATCTCTTGCGTTGAACAACAATACAATTCAAATCCATACATGTTAATACCTGTAACTGAATAATTCTATTTTAAATTTTAGTTTTGTAATATCCTTTTTTAGATTCTGAAGATAAACTTTATTTTCTTGAATCTTTTCCAATTTCCAAAAATCTATTTGTGTTGATTACTATCAATAAGATATAATTAAAAAATATTTTAATTGTATTGAATTATATTGTATAAATATTATAAATATATCAATTGTTTAATTATTTAGTAAAAACCATTAAAATTTAATAAGCAAAGAAAATTAATACATATCTCTAGAAACTTAAACTCATTTATTAATTGAATAATTCAATTTGTTGAAATAATGTCATTGAGTTAATATTTATCAAGGTCATATATAAAACATTTAAGACACTATAAATAGTAACCAGTTATTACAGAAAATAATTTAAAAAACAAATAAAAATTATTTGAATGTAATTATGAGCAGTTTGATAATGGGCGCGTTTAAGTTGATAAAACAGCTAGCCTACTCGCCGAGCAATTATACATTGTTGGTTTTTACTTGTAAATCCAATCAATCACATTCAATCGCTCAGCGAGCAGGCTAACAGCTTTGTCTGACTTAAACATAATTAATCTCATGAAAAATGTCTGAAAATATATCAAAAAATGTCATCGTATATTTGAGCACTTATGTAATAAATATAAGATGTAAAATATCTAATAAAATATTGATTTTTCCGATTTGTTTACCTTAATATTTTTCAGCATAGAACAAGTCTAAAACTTAGTTTCGTGAGTAAATCTCTTCGCCATCGTCTCGTTAAACGAGACAGCGAATAAAAAGAATAGATGCTCGGCTCAGTGATTGCTCTAACATCTATCCTTTTTTTGTTTTCTATCTGTTTCAAGGCTCAACGACGACGACGGAAGCGTTCAACTTGCGTGCTAAGTTTTGGACAAGCCTGGCATAGAACAATAAAAAGTCAATCAATTTATGTAACAACCAATTTATGTTATAGATATTCTAAAATTATATTTAAAAAAATAGTACAAGTGTATCCTACAGATGCATTGATACATACTTGAAAAAAATCTCTATTCATAGAATAATAAGGCATATGTTTATTTTTATCTGAAAAAGTTATAGTTTATCTTAGTTACTAGAATTACTTTGTATGTAAATTACCTATACATTTATGTATAGATATACAATCGAGTCATGTCAAAAAATATCAAAATATGTTTCCAAATATATAAAATTACAAAATATTAAAGAATAAATAGATAAATACAGGGTGCCCAGAAAATCGCCCGCAATACTTTGAGAAGTGATTCAAAATAAAAAAAAAGGAAAAAAAGCTATATAAACATAGATCCGGAAATAAGTCGTTTCCGAGTTACAGCCACTTTTATGTTAAAAAAAATCGTAATTAAGCGGACTATACCTCCAGTGATGCATCCAGGTTAACGCCAAAATAGTCCGAAATAAAATTATTTTTCTTAAAAAACTATAAAATAAATTATGATTATTATGGTTATGACTATGAAAAATAAATTACAATCTTTCATTAAGTTACTATAACTCGGAAATAATTCATTTTCACAAGTAACATCCAAACCTATGTTTATACCTATGTTTAGCTTTTTATTCCTTTTTTTTGGATTTCAAATTACTTCCCGAAGTAAAAAATACTGCAGGCGACTTTTCGGACATTTCTGTATAACAGAAATAAATTAAAATTGTATATTGACTCGTATTTTAGAAATAAAATAGAAATTAGGGGAAATAATTATATTACATCTTTATTTACCCATTTGATCTTTATTTCCTCTAGTTTCTATTTTATAATAAAAATATCTTATATAAATTGTTTTTTATAAATTATATCCCTGATCAATGTCAATAAATAATAAACCAATAAATAATTTAAAAAATAATCTCTGTAATTAATTCTTTAAATTTTGTTAATAAAAAAAATCACATTTAATATATATCTAAAAATAAGTAACATTTGTATCTTCTCATAAATAATAAAAAAAAAATTATACTTTAAAAATTTTTTTCAGATTTATAGTTTATTATTAACATATAAATATGTATTTAATTTCTAACATTTTAATAGGAAAATAGAAAAAGTATTGTGTTCTAATAAAATTACGTACATGTGAATTATTATATAATTATCATATTATATAATTATCATGCAAATTACTTACCCACTACCGGTATGTTGATACATAGAGCTTGAGTAAATCGCAGATATGTTCGCCCAAGTTCGTGGACACAAATGTGAAGGACATCGCTAATGTCAATGAGCATATCTATATGTGTATACATATACAAATTGTTAAGAATTAATACTTTATACTTTTTCTTGTTTATAAATTCTGTGTAATCCTAATCAGTAATAAACTATAAAAACCTAACAAAATTCCCAGAATTAATAATACAATAAGTAAGGTAGATGGAAATCGACATGGTTATTGGTACGTATTATTTAATTTACATAAAATTTACTTTATCCTAAAAGTCAGATGTTTTGGCTATCTTTTTTAGCCATCTTCAGTAACAATTTACAATAGTTACATTTAACTCTCACTCTTCGTTTCTTAATATGTATTCTTGTTATTAAGAATCTAAGAGCGAAAGTTAAATGTAACTATTGTAAATTGTCACTGAAGATGGCTAAAAAAGATAGCCAAAACGTTTTACTTTTAGAATAAAGTAAATTTTATGTAATTTAAATAGTGCATACCAATAACCACGCTGATTTCCATTTACCTTACTTATTGTATCAGTAATAAACTAACCACGCATTTCAAAAAAATTAAAAAAAATACAATTTATATAACTGCTTAAATACTTAAAAAAAAGTTACATATTTGGAAAGAACATAATACATCGATTTGTATTAATCTTTCACGTTATTAGAATGCTATGTAACCTATTTTTTTCTTTTTTTTTTTTCAAAAGGATACGTTGTGTTTTTTCAATACGACAAGTAATATATACACAAGCAGCTTGATTATGAACTTGTTTCCTTCCACGTGTCAAATGATGATTCAAAGCCATTTTATAGAAGTTCACAGATATGTCAATGAGACTTTGATTTGTTATGCTAAAACGAAAATTTCAGATTTGTGAAAAAGAATTTTTTTTAAATAAAAGATTTAATTATAAATATATTAAGAGAAATTATTTACCCCAATTGTAGGCAAAGATGTGTTATACCTTTCCGTGCATTTTGTATAGTAATTCCTCTAGATTCTTTTCCATTAGCATAATATGCTAAAAGTAAAAGAGATCTTATAAATACTTCTCACTTACTATTTATGAATATTTATCTCTCAAAGGAAAACTTATATTATTTAAATGACTTACGTGCCCCAAAATTTGTAGCACCACCTGTGCTGTCATTACCAACAAAGAATCCAGAGTTCCTTACTTTACCAGAGGATGATTCCTCAAAAGTTGTTTGACTAATAATAACTGAATCCTCTAGTACAAAACCACATTCTATACAGATTGCATCTCCACGTCCTGGATCAGTCTCGATGTTGGTAGATCCACAATTGCGACACTTATTTCCAGACATCTGACATGGAGTAAATATGTAATATTTGATTTTAAAAAATTATTTATTGCGTGTTGGTATTATTACAGAGATTAAAAATGTTAATGTAAAGCAAATCTTTATCTTCATTTATAATGTAAAACACACACATTCATTATTTATTATTAAATAGATAATATATCATAATACGTATATTAGTTTCATTCAAATATATTACCAAATGCTATTAATTCTTTATTAACACGTGCATTACGTTAAAATTTATTAACCAAGACAAAATTAATCATTATAAAAACATAAAATTAGTGACACGAACGAATATTCGTAAACAGAATCAATGTTTAATAAATATAGGTTAAATAAACATGTTTTATCACTTACCTTTAAATTGCGTTTAACAAGCACACCACGTTAATGCATATTCCTTTCACCATGGACCGAATGCTTTTGTTTTTTTTTCTGTGTATGCACCGTACTCATGGTGCAAGTATAACATCCCTTCCACCATGACCGTACTCCAGAGTCCAGACTCTAGTATCCATCACTTTTATACTGGGCTGCGTTCAGAAACTTTGCCCAAGTGCATCTAGATATCATTTTATTCTTGTTTAACATTCGATAAACAACAAGAATAAAATGTGGTATGTTCTTTTTAAAGACGGTGCATGCACTTTCTTAAGCCGGTATCAGACTACGCATTGGAGATTGAGATTAAGATTGAGATTAAGATTGAGATTGAAGATTGTCCAATCACATTATAGATTGCGATTTGCATTGCGATTGATAATATAGCTGCGTTCAACAAACAAAGCAG